ATTTCATAGAGACAACATCCAAGTGCCCATACATCACTTTTATATGAATATGGTTTATATTTAAATAACTCTGGACTCATATAATAGGGAGTTCCTATGCAAGTGTTAGCCAAATCACGAGTTGAGTCAAGCACTTTCGCAATTCCAAAATCTCCCAATCTAACTCTGCCATTTTTGAGAAATATATTTTGAGTCTTCAAATCTCGATGTAAGATTTTCTGCTCATGCAAATAACACAAGGCCAATGTCATCTATGCAAACCAATCCAAAATTTGAGATTCAGGGAAACTTTTCTTGTTTCGAATCTTTTAATAAATATCTCCACCTTCACAGTGAATCATCACAATATTTAAATATTGTTCTCTATCCAAATATGAATCCTTGTAGGCTACAATGTTCGGATGTCTCAATTTCTATAATAACCTGACTTCATTTTCAGTATTTTCACGATCCTTCTGATTCATGTCTCTGATTTTGATACGCTTTATTACATAAAGACGATCTTCTCTTTTATTCCTAGCCAAGTATACCTAACCAAATGAACCAGAGCCGATAGATTTGACTATTTCATAAAATTCCATTATTTTAAATATTCATAATAATATAGTTAATTAATATGAATATTATTTTAAAATTACAATTACATTAATAATAATACATTTACCAAAGAATCAATTCGAAGCAGTTACGTAAATTTAAGCCCTTAAATATTGAATACTACCAGTGATTACTACTATTATTTATAAGTATTATTGTAAGGGAATTATCTAACTTCAATTTGAAGAATATCAATATAATAATTAATAAAACTATCTGTATCATTTTGTATTTTAAATCAATAAATGAAAAATTGAACTAAATGACAGTTAAATAGATATTATTCGAATATTTTATTGAACTATCCTATCAGCATGAATTAGCACTTATTTGATATTTTTAATAAGTTAGAAGGAATAAAATTCTTGTTGAAGAATTCTTAGAATTTTCCTTGCTATAAGAAAGATCTCAAATATCTGAGTCTTTTATATAATCACTTTTACGAATAAACATTTGTGAGAATAAAAATAATATTTAAATTTGTAAACAAATTCTTCAAACTACTACTTTCTTTTATTTAATTATAGAAATATCAAGAAATTATAAATTAAAATTATTATTTGATCATCCTAAGAATGAATAATAGATTGTCGATATTATTGTGATTGTCGCTAGGAGTAAAATAGAGAAGTTAATAATGCAATTTAAATCACAAGTTTGTTCTGCTTCAATTTAAGCTATGTAATTTACATATTTAATTACTTTCGTTATTCAACACAGAACTGCTTTATTAAAACTCTTTAGTTGAGATATTTGTGTTACTCGAAGAAGGACTAGGACTGTTTTAGGATAGTCCAATTTAAGCCTTCTTAACAACCTTGTGTTTAGCATGCTAAATTGAACTTATCTATATTGAATTACTTTTTAAGGGACCATTTTTCTCTTAAATTACAGCTTTGCCAATTCTTATCTGGCTTTCTCTTACTGCTATATCTAAGTCGCTTTGTCAACGTAACTCCACTGATTCTATTTCAGCCATTGTCGAATGTCTTCCAAGTTTTACTCTTAAATCCTCTTAAATTCGTTTTGTACTTGTGGATCCAATAAATCTATGCCAAACTATTGAGCATATAATTGTAATTTCTATATATTCAATATAATCTTTACCTTCTTGGGTCTATTAAAATCTAATTGAGAAATTTTCTCTAGTTGTTTCTTGGCTATCAAAGCTTTTTGTAGTTTGTCCTTCAAATCTACTGCTTCTTTCAACTAGCCATTCTGTAAGAAGGTCTTGACCATATCCATTCCTCTTGATTCAATAAATCGCCCTAGCTCTTACACTTCCATGGGTATCGGTTTCTTTGGATCTTATTCATAACTAAGTTCTTAGTCATTGTCTTGATATGCAAACTAGGCCATGAAATCCTAAGGCAAATCTTCTTCCTCCTGGACACTGTATTGAGAAGTGTCCTATTAAACGTACTGTTCTTTGTCGCTGTCATCCTCTTCGAACTTGGATAATTGAGCTTAGACCATATCGTAGACCTTGGCGATGCTTTCATTGAGAGGATCCAATTGCTGAGCAAATTAGAGATCTTTGCAAATCATCTGGCAGTCTATTTAGGTCACTTGCTCAGATAAGAATCGAGACTTATGGGATAAATAGATATGAGTACCTAAGCTCTCAAAATGAAGGCCCCTGCACAGAGTGGATTTAATTATTGCCAATAATCGCACATTTTGGTGCAGGCTTCTTGTTCATGCAATATGTAATAACATTTACCCATCAATTCGAATAAATTTTTCCAAAGGTCTTAAAAGCAAACTTAATTAAAAATGCATACCTTTGATTTATTATTATTCAGGGTAATGTCTGCAATTCAAATCTTCAAATTTAGTGTCCTGCCATCGTTTGGGTTGTTTGGCTTCAGCAAAGACTGACATGCAAATCTCAAATTAATCTATTGCATGTCGATGTTGATCTAGGGTATAATAGTTTTGTTTGATACTTTGATAAAAGAATTTCAATCCCCTTTCAAAAAATAGTTCATAGATTTTCTTTTTCTATAAGAAAGATTGACGTGATAATTGCTTGAAGGCTAGACGTAGCATAATTAGTTTATTAATTAATAAAAAAATCTTAATTTTCTGATAAAGTTTGATATGATTATAAAGGCGATAGGAGAATTAGAAATGTGAAGGGATTTCAACTGATTGATTTCATGCTTGTAGAGATTCCTCGTGTTTTAATTACTAAGTTAAAATAATGAATAATTATTATAAATAATAATGTCAACTAAATTTCGTTAATCGGTGCGATTCTTACTTTGGGTGATTCGTAAAAATGTACCTGGAAGAATTGCATTGTTGAAGTCGTAATGTCCCTCACCTAAATGAGATCCAAATAACGGTCGCAACTGGAGGTTTTGCAAGTAAGTGCACTGATGCAACGATTTCAATACTGTAGAGACATGATCACAAAGGAAGGATTCGAGAAATACAATAAATTTTGTGAATTCTTGTACACCATCTACTGTCGGACGGGAGAGAGAGTGATTAGAAAAGGATAGCAAGGAGTGCGGTTTTACATGATCTTGCAAGGATAGGTTTCATTGGTGAGCTACAAACCTAAGAGTCGCAAAGCCCAGATAATGATGGATCAAGAAAAAGTAAGGTAGTCATGGTTATTAAAAGGAAACGATCCCGAATTATGAGGATGATACTCTATTTAGTGCTTTCAGTTTCAAGGACCTGAATCCAGGGGATCATTTCGGTGATATGTCGTTGTTAGATAATGGACAAGTGTCATGCACAATCATATGTAAGACCTTTTGCTAATTCGTCTGTATGGATAAGCAATAGTTTGTGAAGTTTATAGGGAAATCAGTGCCAGTGTTGTAGAAACTCAAAATACTAGAAGAATAATCGATTTTTAATTCTTGGACCGACGGAGAGTTGAGAGCCTTAAGTTATGAATTCAAGAACAGAACATATCATTAGGAAGAGTTCCTCTATTAGGAAGGCTAAAGGAATGTTCAAGTGTTCTTAATAATGGATGGACAAGTTGAGATGACATCAACTCGAGACAATCAGACATATCATCTTAGCTCTTTGGATGTGGGTGCACTCTTTGGTGATGATGCTGACTATCATACATGCAATGCCAAATGTGTATCAGCCAGAGCAGAAGTACTTGTGATTGGAAGACAAGTGTTAAGTCGGATGTTGGATTGGCATCCAGAGTCCAAATAATTGTATAGACAATAATTATGTATTTCCATTTCTCCTATAGTTTTAGAACAAAAAGCCAATTGGAGGTAGGATAGATTGAATAATCTCATTGAATGTCATGAGGAGAAGACGAAATGCAAGAGAACTCAATCCATCAAAATGCAGTTGTTGGATTTATTGATTAAGCCTAAGTATTAGAAGATTCGTCTCTCTCCATGTGTTAAGAGAGTCACTAATATTCAAGACACTATGGATTTTGAAGAGAAGAAACTTAAACATAAAGAAATCTTGGAAAAATAGAATTTAGTCGTTTCTTAACGCAAAATAGAATTCTTCAAATTAGGTCTGACATTCACTGAAAAGAGAAGGAAAAAGCAGAAGTAATAATAAGAAGAAATGAAACTAAAGAAACAATGTGAGAGTGTTATTATTTCTGAACCTCCCCTCGAGAAACTCAATAGGGCTTCCAGTACAATAATGACTAAAACATCGCAAACCACTTTTAAATTATCTCCTGCCAAGAAGCTTAGAAAAGTGTTCTCAATTGAAGGAACATCCATTAATATTCATTATAAATAATGAATTATCAATATTTCCAATATTAAAAGATTTTGTTATCATCAACGCAATCCATTACTTAATTTAATATTTAGACTCATGAGCAAAAAAATTAAAATTTCTTAACCTCTACCGAAAGTCAATTGGAAAGATACTGATATGGAAGAAGAACTCACCATCAAAATACCTCATGGTGATCTAATCAACAAAATCATAGACCCTAGATCAAGTCCTCAGGAATTCTTTGTTCCATTAGTATATATTGTTTGATCCTAAAGAGATTTCCAGCCTAATAACACATGAAAGATGCAGATGGCTTTTTCATACCCTTGCCTAAGGAAGATCCAAAGAAAATACTATAACAATAGCAACAATTTCAAAATGAAAGATATTAAATTCAATTGCAGGATTTGATATCCATTGATGACTTGGGTCAAGGCTCAAGCGGAAGAGTGATCAAAGCATTACATAGACCCACTAATTTGCTTGTTGCACTTAAAGTATTCATTGTAAATAGTAGACAATCCAAATAGTGAATGATGAAAAATTCACTAAATAAATCAATTTGGAACTGGAAACTTTGGTCAGTTGCAATCATTCGAACATCATCAGATGTTATGGAGCTTTTCTAGAAGGAGCTTAGGTAGCAATCGCTTTAGAATACATGAATTTAGGCACTTTGCAAGATGTAATTAAGAAGTCAGGAAAAATCCCTGAAGGCATGTTAGGACTCATTGCCTATTAACTACTCAAAGGTTTGGACTATTTACATCGAACAAAGAAAATCATCCATAGAGATATCAAGCCTTCAAATTTATTGATAAATAGTTAAGGGGAAGTTAAAATCTCTGATTTTGGTGTAAGCGGCTAATTACTAAACACCTAAGACCAGCGATGTACTTGGGTTGGTACAGTTACTTATATGTCTCCTGAGAGATTTCTGTGTGAGCCCTACTCTTCGAATACAGATGTCTGGTCCTTAGGACTCTCTTTACTTGAATGCGCTTGGGGGGTTTTCCCTTATCCTCATCCTGGAACCAACGATACTACTCACTCCCTTGGGTTTTGGGAAATCAAAGAATACATTGTTTCAAGACCAGCTCCTCCATCACCTCCTGATTTTTCCTAAATTGGAGCTGACTTCATAGCCAGTTGTTTATAAAAAGATCCAAGGTAGAGGAGGAGTGCTGCAGAATTGCTGGTATATCGAATTTATATATATACTAGGAACACCCTTTTATTAAACAATTTGAGGATGTGAGTCTACAATATTTAGAAGGTTGGCTTAACATTAATTAATGATTTAAAATTATAATACATCATTTGAGATGTTTCAAATCTGAACTTGATTCTATATTCTTGACCATGATTCCTAATTGATTGTTTATCTCAATTAATTGAGGCAAGGTGCACTTGAACACAATATCCTTGTCTTTGTTGTCTGTTGATTTAGTGTGCAATTAGATTTTATATATTTCCTAATACACTTTATTAGCATATTTGGAAGACACCACTATTTCCTATTGCCAATCAACATCTACTAAGTAATTGAAACCGATTTTCGATTCGAAATTGGCTGCTATGATGGCATTGTCAGGATCATTGACAAATTGTTTGAACTACGTAAATTTCTTGATATATCCATCTACGATAGTCTGATCAAATCCATAATCATATAAATTCGTAGAGATTTCAATTTCCATTAATTATAACTTAATGCATTGAACTGTGAATAGCAAAATTAAATTGAATAGTTCATTTGTCAAAGGTTCTGAATTCAATTGATCCAATATTTTTGTATTGTTTTCTTCTCCAGCCAAATTCATAAACACACATTTAGATAGTTTATCGAAGTTTTACTAAGTGAATGGATCTTTAGCTAATTAGCCCAATCCTTTTGCTACTTCCTCAGGGATATTTTTTGTCTCTTAAATATTCATCTTAGATGATTATAATTATATATTGAAATATTTTAACAGAGTGCATATTTAGAATAATACACTTATAATTATTAGCATTCTAAAATCAATGCAAAACATTATGAAATTCTAGAGAGACGAATAGTTTTGCAAAGGATAGCATGAAGTAATATAATTAAAAATCCACTTTATCATACTTATCATGATGCTTGTTTGTCCAACTCCTCTAATTTCTTCACATCATCATTTAGCAAAGCTTCGTCCCATGGATCCAATTCTCCTTCCTCAGCTTTCCAACCTCCCCATCCCATGTCTTCTATTCCGACTCCCAAATCGCTGAAAACTATCATTGGAGCACTCTATTCGATGTGAATGTTCAATAATCTAATTAAGATGGCTCCATTACTTTGGTTTAAGATGACGATCATTTGGTAAGGGGTAATGCAGAGTCTTGGCAGCAGGCAAAGGAGGGTGATGAGGGCCTAGATAGAATGGGGCGCCTCCAATTAGTTGGGGTGGAGTGTTTGTTGTCCTCTTTGTACTCATATTAATTTTGTAAAAATTAGTTAGATTGAATATAATTGCATGTTAATTTAAATAACTAATGGGCAATTGTTGTAAATAAACTGGTGAAAAGAATTTCTCTTCAATTCAGCTCAATGACCTCTTATAAAGGAAATCTCTTCTTCTTGAGTAATTGCAAGTAAATTGAATATCTACATTCCAGCAACTTTAAAATCCAGTTTATAATCAGACTTCTCTTTAGATCAAGATGATTACTTGGATCAAAGATTCTCATGACCTTTTTGATTACGAGAACACTAATCGAATAGCTTAATCTCTGACAATCAATTCTTCTATTAAATTGTATAGAGATAAATCGAGTGGAAAAATTCAATCGACTCAATAAGGGAAGACATTAATCAGAATTGAAAATAGACAAAATTGTTTTTGGATCGAACCAAGAGTATGTATTTGTATGTAAGAGTTAGCAAGCCAAAAACGATGACCATCATGTTTGGTTAGTTATAAAATCAATTTCATAACAAGAAAATGGTGTTAAATTACAATATAATGATGTGATACGAGTGGGTAAGGTGGAAATAAAACTGAAGGAAACTTCATTTCGATGTGAGTGAGAAGAAATTAGATGAAAGAGAAACGATTCTCAGTCAAAGTGTCGATGATCAACGTTGTAGAATATGTCTATTAGGTTCTGAAAGTATCGATGATCCTAAAATTGAACCTTGTAATTGTTCTGGAACTATGGCTTTGATTCATTTAAAGTGTTTATAACATTGGATTGTAACTAAATACAACATGGAAAGTAGCAATGCAATAGTGTTTCTGTGGGATTTGATGAAATGCGAATTGTGTCGAAGTAATTTTAAAAGAAAATTACAACTCAATGGTTAAACAGTTGATTTGGTGGAACTAAGCAAGAGGTAATTCCAGAGCTATGCAGTATTGGAAATGAAGAAGCCATTGCTGAAATCAAAGGAAAGATTGACCTATATTCTCAATTTGGAAAAACTTGAATAATTCAAGATTGGAAGAGCCAATGATAATCATATTCGATTATGCGATATTAGTGTGAGTAGGTTTCATTGCAAATTAACTTTGGTACAAATTCATTTTGTATCATGTAGCACAATAAAGAGTTTTATATTCAAGACAACAATTCTAAATTTGGTACTCTCCTTAAGTTGAAGTAATCGATGCCATTGTTGAAGGAGTTTTAGAATGTGCAAGTTTAGGTTGGGCGAACGTTGTTTGAATTCGAGAACGTAAGCAACGGTTACTAATGATTATTAAATTTATTAATGTCATTTTCTGAATAACAAGGTTAAGAGCTGCAGATAAGGAAGGCAGATTTGGATGATTACGATGAGATTATGTAATTGATGCAGGAAGAGGGAGAAGAGGACTTATAATAACTCTACGCATATCCCAAGATTCTTACATTATTTGAGAGATCCTATTTGTCAGTCACAGTGCTTGATTCGTAGAATAATATTATAGGAGGGGCAGTCTTTGATGATTGTCCTTAAGGTGTTACTGGATAGGTTGATTTTAAGCATGAGAATTTGTGGGAATAATGGATTCATGATGGCTGGGACATTGGCT